GACGTGCGACAGTACGAACAGAGTCGGCGGTATGAACTATGGTCAAAGTTTTAAACAACGACAATAAAAGGCGTAAACGGCAATGGTAAACAGGGCACAGTTCACAAAAATCTCACGAAAGTTGTGCAGTTGTGCTATGTCCAGAGGCTGAAAAGCGAGTCGTCGGTACTCGCAAGTCGTTCGTAATTCGTAGCTTGTACATCGTGAATCTTGATGGTGGGAGTTGACTGGGTGGTGGGAAACTGGAAAAAACGTCTCGCAAAAACCGTTACAAAACACAACAATAAGATGTAAAAACGCGGGAATTATTAAATACATAATTGAATATATATTTCAAGACGGCTCATTTAGGAATACTAAATTCTAAAATTGAAAATTTGAACTCATTTGGCGGTTGGCTAGGTTGGGTTATCTTTTTCTTTTTCTTTTTTCTCTTTTTTTTTTTCTCCATGAAATTTCGGGACAAGTACCCCAATCCCGTCAGGCGAGGGTCCCGAGCCGATTTCAAATATCTTACCGACTTACGGTATTCACTATTCTTACTACTCTCGTAACCTACTCTTACGTGATAAATGAAAACGTGAACTACTGAACCCTACTTGACCCGTACGAGCTGGATTAATGATATTTTATCTTGTACGATCAAGGTGATATAAATTATAAATTAATATGCCCGAACTTCTAATCATAATTCATAATATCAAATATGTACTAATACACAGTAAACTCCTATCAAAACAAGTCAAAATAATATTTAAAAATATTTTTTAACCGTAGGAAATAATAATTATTATAATAAAATTGTGATAATTACAACAAAATAAGATAATCGTTACATTTTAAATCGAGTGAATATCTTATGTTGTAAAAATTTTAACTTCAAACGCTCATAAAAATTTAATTTAACTTTCCGGTAGGCATTTTTTTTTTTTGTAAACGTAGCTAAACTTATGAAAAATTTAGTATTACATTTTCAAGTTATTATCCAAGCAAATTTTTTCTTATCGACATTAATTAATAAAAACCGAAAATGTCAAGTCTAAATATTTTTAAAATGTTATGGTATTTAGAGAATGATAATATAAACATTCGGTGGAAATGTCAAATATCTACAGTCATTTTTTAACTTTTTATGAGTTTCACCAAAAACCAAAATTGATTTTTCGTAAAAATTCCTGTTTTACATGACGTGCCTTCGATTTAAAATTATGACCTCCCTAACCTAACCTAGAGGTTTAGCCATGCTACCTATACACTATTTTAATTCGAGGGCTTCACGGACAGCCTGCACCTCTGCAGTGCCTTACTAGCACTATCTTAAATCGTAGTACCTAGACTGTCTGTGCTCGGTAATCATAACCTACAACCGGCTACTGGTAACTGGTTACTTCTCCTACTACACATTAGTTCGGTGCTATTAATAATTAAGCTGAAACTAAAAAATATAAATATTTGTCATAATACTAATTATTAGTAAATTAACATTCATGATTAATGGTAATTACTAATTAGTATCTGCTTTCTTGAAATAATTTATAAATAATAAATATTATAATAATGACGTAGTAAAGCGCAGTGTCTCTAATCTGTACATAAAGATAATAGACTATAGAGGCAATATCAGAATTCGCAATATTATTATTCATAACAGCCGATACTTAAACAGCCTTTATACGATAAACTATAATTATTAGTTATTAATTATCTCTCACCAATCTGGTTAAGTTGATTTTATTATATTGAAATTGAAAAATCAAATGATATTAAAATATAAATCGAAATGGATAGCTTTCATGTTCCATGCAACCAAATAAAAGATGAATATCAAAAATGTTTCAGTTCCTGGTTCACCGAATGTTATATGAAGGGCGATTATGATGACAAAAGGTGTGCCAAAAAATTTGATCAATATCAAAAGTGCCTTCGTGAAGGTATGCAAGTTCATGCTTTGGATATTGAAGATGTATTAAAACCTTACTTGGGAACCGATCGCATGAAGAAATGAAGTTACAATACATTTTGATGAAACAACTAATGTGTTCAAAAATTATATTAATTTAGTAAGTACCTAGGTATTTGTTAATAGATTGGAAAGTATCTAGTTATTCCTTAATTTATAAGTTTTGTTAACTTTTAGCTGTTGAGTAATTTTGTATAACTAGATTATTAGTTCTATGTTTGTATAAGGTATCTTTCTATTTGTGTTATACTTATAACTTACTTATTAGAATGTCCAACTTTTGTCAATGTATCTACTACAACTAATATGTGCATACAGTTTTATAATTAACTTAGTTATTTAATACGAGTGCTACATTCTTTGTACTTACACTGAGTATAATACAACAAAATATATTCTCAGTGGTACTAAAAGTTATGCTTTTAAGTGTATTTTAGTTGTATTCAATGTTAGATTTTTAACTAGTAAATTTTATTATTACCTCATTTTAACTATTTATGTGTAAGTTGCTACTATCTAATGCTAATGGAAGGTATTACAATTTAAAAAATATAGTTTAATAAGTAACTAATAATAGATAAGAAAATACTTAGCCAATTTACTAGAAGTCTTGTAAAGAATAACTCGCACCACCTCTGAGTTTTCTTCAAAGAAATCAAGTAATATTAAATATTAAAACTATTATGCTGCTATTACCGATTACATAATGTAACATTTTTTTAGTGATTTTTTCACCATATCTGTGGTGAAAAGATCAATGTTTTGTATTTGTGTTTGATTTATTCCTTTAGATAAATGACAATATTATTATTCTTTTATTATCTGTTTATTGGCTCCGAATAGACCATACAAGGCTAACACAAAGAGGGCCCAACCTATGTAGATATGTGAACAGTCTAACATAATATTATAATAACAGTAAATAAATGACATCAAAAAAATTATCATCCCATCCAATACGAACAAAGTATTAGGACCAAACACCATATACCAAAAACATCACAAATATAACCTGCAGCATAAAAACAGACTTTTATAATACAATTTATTAAACGTAGCTGTATAAATACAATAATATGACTGCATATATTGTATATATATATTTAATTACATTACCGTGAATTTATAAGTGTTAACTAACCAATTTTTATATTATGTACCTTCTCTGATTTAAAATCAGAAACTTATAATCGCTGTTGTTGATGTTTTTTAGTTCAATGAAAAAAATAAATACTACATCTATTCTTTTTATTCCTACATATTAATATTTTAGTCTATTTTTTCAATATTTTAAACTTGTTGCATCAAAAGTGTTGATGCAAATTGGGAGTGACTATTGACTACTGACTAAGTATACTTCATAATGTCTAATAGTCTAAAATATTATAAATTATAGTCCACATAGCAAACATGATAATAGTTTATAGTTGATTCAGATAAAAAATTATTGTAATTATGTACAGACTACAAATTTAGATATTTTAAGTTAGTTATTAAATTTAGTTATTATCCAAGGATAATTAAAAAATTTTTAGACAAAACTAATGGACTTGGGTTTGACACATTTTTATTTTGAAAACCAATTAAAAATATTCATCAAGACGTCTACTAAAGCATAGCTGTGGAAATTTATCATTATTACAAAACAAAAAACAAAAATACAAAATACTAAAATTCTTATTTTTTAAATTGGCAATATTTTATTGAAGAATTTAAATAAATAAAATCTCTTCAGCCATTCTCCAACTAACACATGACTAATTAATATACATTTTCAAAATTAAAATCCGCCAAATCCATGTCTTTTAATTTTGTCGTTTGAATGGCATGTTGTATACTTAATGACATTTGTATCATTGACATGTGACTGCATACGCAAGCGGTGAGCTGTCAGTGCCTGGTACTCAACAACGAATTACTTATTCTAATATTCATTTACTTCTCACACAATGACACAGCTCAAATATAATTGTTATATGAAATGCCAAAATCACGATGTCTCTACATAGTGGCCTAAATATTACTCCTTAAAACATATCACACTCCAGTCCCCATAAGGTAACTATGTTAGTGATACAGCCAGACTGTATCTCTTAGGCCATACGCACAATGCAACAAATTTACATTTAGCAGGCAGGATCAATATTCTTCTGTTGTTAGCTTTATGTGAGTAAACTACCTAATACAAAGCTTGAAGTTAAGAATACTATTTTTGGCACCGCATAGACTTTTATTGATATATTAATTTTAATATGAGTTGAAACGCCATCAAGTATTACAATTTTGAAATGTTCATAACTTTCTACATTGAGTGTAGGTTGGAGCAAAAACAAATAGTACACTAATATCCTATTAAAAAATAAATACAATTCAAATATTATAATATAACTATTCACTATTCACTATAAATTATGAAATGTATGATTACAAATTTTAAACCATGTCACATGTTTTCATATACATATTTATTTTAATTGAATTAAAGAATACAATATTAAAACTTGGCTTTACACAAATCATTTATGTAGTGTATTTACATTGTCATTACACATTATAATAAATGTAAAAGGATGAAGGGGCCTTTGTATGCTTAATGTAGGTCCAGCTTTTGTTGAATCTATACTTTGCATCATACAATTTAGATTAAGAAGTTTTCATGTGTTTTCTGCTAGAGTATCTACTCTTGGTAATGCACTTATGCGAAGTGCCAATATGCACTTTTACTAAACCATAGATTAAGAATCTTGATAAATCTCACTGATTTTGTTATTCCCACTAAGAGTTCTCAATGCCATTATAATTTTCATGAAAATAATGACTATCCAGTTGATTTTTTCTTAGAATTCCAAGATTATTCAATAAATCATCATATATTCAGCAAACCGTTCAATAAATTCTTTAGTAATACGTTATCACAATCTTTTCGAGATCTTGTATTGAAGGAACTGGTACAGTGATTATTGGTATTAGTATCTGAAAAATATACATAAATTAATATTAAAAAAAGCTAATTGTATGTTTTGGATTCTTAACGAAAACAACTTTTCATTTCTAAAGTTAAGAGAACTCCGTGCCTGCATGCGTTGTCTCCGTCTTACACATTTACCATTCACCAGTTTCTATAATGTGCTGTTAGTGTTTTGGAGCGAATTGACTTATTATCAAACTTTTATTCAAGAACATCATCTGTGTTCTCTTGTTTTTTACGATATTTTAATTTATAAGTGAATAATGAGCATTTTCAAATATTAATATTTTACATAGCAACCTCACATACAAATTTATCAACAAGAAAAAATATTTTATACATTTTGTTTAGTTGTCTTTATTACTTATAATGCATAATATATACCGGGAGTTGCAAACCTTTTTCAGGTCAAGTGCCAAAATTAAAAAACAAAATTTTAAAAAGCGTGTAAGAAGATATCCCTCTGCTCAACAGTAGGTTACAAACTTACAAGTGGGTCACTGCAATGAATGATGTTAAATATGGATTTAATGATAACAAATCATCGAATACATAAAACGATTCTGAGCGATGACAGTCACCATATAATATTACTTAGTATATTTTATGATATTAATTGTGATTGAAGTAATTTATTCTATTAGTCATTAGAACCATGGGCGCCCATTGGGGAGGGAAGACAGGGCACTTGCCCCCCCTGGAAAAAAATATTATGAACTTGTAGCTCAATAAATATTACCACAATATTACCTTATTACCGAAATTTTTTAATTTGACCCCCCCCCCCTAAAATGTTACCTATGGGCGCCCATGATTAGAACTACAATAGGTTAAATTAATTTTTGCCAAAAATAAATTACATTTGAAAAGTCATTGTGTGTATAAAATATAATAATTATACTCTAAAGGTTTCAAACACCCACAAATAATAATTATAAGTTACAACAAAAATCATTATTCTTGGTTTGAATATGTAATTACATCCAAGTTTGAACTTCAAATGACTATAAAAAAAACTGTGCTAACATGTTTTTAAATGAGTGTAACTTACACGTAACCTTGTTTTAAATTTGTATTATTATTATTATTATTAATTTATAGCTACAAATAATTTGTAAATTTTGAATTTATAAATGTTGTCAACATTTAAACGTTAGATGCTTGTAAAAAAAAAGGCAATATATTTTAAAATGTCTGTAAACAGCTCTAAAGAAGTCAAAATATTTTTCAACTATAAGAAATTATGAAATAAACGCTTTGTCTAAATTTCAAATATCTAGTAATTTTTTTTTTAATCGCGACAAAATAAGATGATAGTTTAATGAAAAATTGAGTGAATATCTAATGTTGTGAAAGATTTTGAACATCAAATGCTCATAAAAACTAAATTTGACTTTCCAGTAACCTTTTTTTTTTATGAAAGCAAACAAACATATGAGGCATATTGTATTAAATTTTCAAATCTTTAATTTAAACAATTTTTTTTTATGTATTTCTCACTCAAGGTTGGGCACATTTATCATTTTTATTATTTCAACTATGTATTATGTACACAAACACATATAAGAAAAATAAAATATACATCATTGTAAAATCAATACATTCATTGTTTCGTTCAGAATGTAAAATATGATCATATGAAGGTCTGTTTACTGAGAATAAAAAAAAGTAAGTAATAATTATTATACATATTTCATTATGTGCTCTTTTGTTGACTTTCATTTTATAAAATATATGCTTAAATAAATTATCATTAGGTATTATTTATTATTTTACTAATAGTTATTACTTATAATACTATATTTTAAATGGAATTTCTGTTGTTTTTTTCGAAGATGAAGTTCTTATTATTAGAAACTTATAAAATTCTTTCTTCAAAATATGTCAAGAAAAATAGTTTAATTAATTTTGACGTGCCATTGAAATTTGGTCAATGTGCCACTTCTGGCAAGCTTGTCATAGTTTTGCCACCTGCTATATCCACAAGCCTTAAAAAAATTAGCTGGGCGCCGCATGAGGCTCGCGTGTTTGACATGTCTAATCTATATAATTACTCGCAACTACCTATTGGACAGTGGATTGCTATGCTGGTAAAAGTGCATCATTTTGTTATCCAGTGAGACTGCATCTTGCAAGCATACTCATAATTATTAGGAACAGTAAACACAAATCTCCTTTCATCATATCAAATAATAGTAGCTAGTAGGTATTAAGTATTTTTAAATTAAAAACTTCAACATTATTTTGTACTATTGTTATGGTCAATATCAGTAGGTACATTAGATTGATACAATAGTAACACACAGCACCTGAAGCATATTATAAGATATCATGACAAATCAGCACTTATGGAATATATATAGTTATAATATAAAACTATGGACATTCTCAAGAGTGAATATTATGAACACCAATCACCAATGATAAGTCTTAGATTTCCATAATGTGTAAATTGGTTTCCAAACATATTATTCATATATAGTTTGAACTTTTTTTGTTTTGATTTAATTAATTCTCACATACTTAATGTTGGGACAATGATCAATATGAATATGTTAGAATTACAATATTACAAATATCAAATATTATACATAATTTTGATTGCTATTGCCTACCTTCTCAGAGATTTGTAGCATTTCTACCACCATATTGTCATTTCCAGCCAATTATATCTTAGTCTGTGGTTTCATCGTAACAATAATGTTTCACCTAAACCACGATTATCACCTTTTTGCTTTCATCTCAAAATTATCATACCTAAAATCAAAAATCTTTTTAATATAATTTAAAGGTATTATGGACAACCTGAGGGGAGGGTCCTTGAAAAAATACCGACACTAGTTAAAAGTGGTAACAACCAATTTTTATCTTTCGGTTTAGACATTAATTTTTAACAATCTTTAATACTAATTTCTCAACGTTCTTTAATTAGAACTTATAAAACTAAGTTCTAGTCATCAGTTGTTAGATACAGGAATTTATTACTATTGGATAAGTATCTTGTTTTATTAATACATTCTCTATAATATTACACCAGTAAATATGAATGGTCTCCAAAATTTTCTTTCATTGTATTGTTAAATAAATGATATATATAGATATGTATTTTTTTTCAATTTGTTTTTTTGAAATAAAAAATTATGTCCGTAATCGGCAACTATTAACTAAAGTATCACTCTGTATATTTATATGATTTTCGATTTATTTTACTTTCGACATTAAGTACTAACCTTAAAGATAGAGAACGTTATCTGAAATGTCCCCATTTTCTTTCAGATGGTTAATCAATTAACATACATTTTTAACTCTCTGTTAAAAAAAGCACTCTTATTATGCAACATTTTTATTTTAAATTTGACTTTTTTTACAGTTTGTTGAGATATATCCCAAAACAGCATGCGCATTCTTGGATTATTCAAACCCTCAGCATTTAGTCATCAATTTTAATTATGTTTTTAGTCACATTTAAGTCACCAAAATCAACTTTTCTTTCCCTGTAGAATATATTAGTAACAATATTATTTTAAATAATAACAATAAATAAACTAATAAAGAGTACAGTAACTAAATAATTAAAAATAAATAATGATATTGATTACATGGAAGTATTGGTGGAATTTATCATCCTTTTTGGAGTTACCGGTATTTGAATATCCAAGCTTTGTGTTGCTTTGATAATATCAATGTTTGATGGTCCAGAAATATTAGAAAGATCACTCATCTTTATTGGTATAACTTCTATATCGCCAACAATCAAAGGCCTAAAAATATTAGAACTACCATCAAGTAATTACACTAAGTGCAAGACAGTAAAAATTTTATCTATCATGTCCTATCAGTTGTAAAGTTTTGGAATAACTAAATTAATATTATTCATAACAGAAATATATATATTCAGTCCATTCAATATATAGGCGTAATAATATACATTTTAGGTATTTTACTGATTCAATGAATCTATTTAGGTCCATGCTTTTATAAATATTGAGTACAATATGGTCTATGGTAATCCGTATAGCTTGTACTAGAGAGCCTTAATAATTAATTTTTATTATTAAGGCTCTGTAGCTTATATTGATGACCTAATGTGGCACATACACAATGAATAATATTGACCATGTTTGGCTTATGTTGAAGGTACTTCCAATAATATTGAGAATATCAAAACTGATTTGATTTTTATTGATCGTGTATGGGTCACAAGACCGTGTAACAAATACATTCTGTAATTGTAGAGCGAATGAATAATTTCTAATGATACAATAAACAATATTTATATTTAATAATGCCTACACAATATTGCACATAAAATATAAAATATAAATGATAAATTTAATTAAACGTAAATACTAAATACCGTTGGGCAATATTGGCAGACGCCAGACGGCAATGGGGCATGGGCGCTTGATAGTTGATGCAGCCCATCATAGATAATATATAGAGGATAGGCTATTCCAATACCTACAACCACGAACTACTACATGTAGTAGTTCGTGCCTACAACCCATGGGTTCGCGTGCCGGAAGAGCCCCAGACTAACATTGGTTATGGTAACCTAGTTATCAATGGTTACGTTATCCTGTTATCTTGTCAATATATTTGAATTAGGAGTACGAAATGACGAAATTTGAATTATTAAACATTTTACTGAGTATAGAGAATCAATAAGAAAATATCCAATAGGTAATTTCCAGTAGCCATTCATTCCGACAACAAGAAACACTAAAGCATTTCTTGCTTCTGGAATTTCGTCATTGTCCAACTCATAGTCTGTGCCCATATTCACATAGCCATATACATTTTGACAAGTGTCAATTTCTACATGTTTTTTTATGCATATTTCATCAACAGTTAAATTACAGTACACTGGTCCTTGTTTACATTTGATACTAATAGCATCTAATGATTCTTGTGTAAAACCCGGCTTTCCATCAACTACTGTATACCAACGACGCAGTGTTCTGGTATGTGGTAGAATATTTGAAAAGGAATTGCGCACAAAATCATATGCCTTGGGTGAATAGTAATGAAGAGTTAATGCAAACCTCCTAATTTCATTACTATATAATTTCTTATTCTCCAAATTGTTGGCTATTAAACTGTTTAAAACATCTGAACCCAAAGCCTAGGAAAAATAATTATATAAAAAAAAAAAATAATAATATTATTCTTATTTGCAGTTAACACTCAACCAACCACTATAATCAATAAAATATGACTGTAACATAGTTTAGATTACATTTAAATCCAAGGCCTAAGTAAAAAAAAAAAAACATATATTGTGTATTTGCAGTTATCGCTCTCAGCCAACCACCAAAATGAATTAAATATAGTAGCAATAGCTTATGTATATAAATATACATTTTTGTTAAACAAAATATATTTGTTTAATTTCATTGTTGTATACTTTCTTATTCTTCAAACTGTTTTCCCGTGTTTTTAATATATCCAAAACCAAAGATTAAATAAAACAGTTTATTTATTAAAAAATAATCATTTTTTTGTGTATTCCAAGACAACACTATGATACACACACACTGAACTAACCACCAAGATAAATTGAACAAAACAGTAAAACAATTTGTACATAAAAGTTTTTATTTTATATTAATGGCGGATCTGGTTACTGAAAAAACACTTAAACATATACTAAACATAAATGACAACATTAACAATCAACATATCCAAATTCACCTTCAAATTGTCTGCTGCAGCATCTGAAATATAACAATTTGACTGCAAATCAGAAATTATTGATTGCAAAGATTGGACCTAAGTTTGTAAACGACGATTTTTTTCCATCAAATTTTTAGTTTTTGAGCGAAGACCTGAAATGGTTGATTGGACAACAGGAAAATTGCGACGTGCTCTATTAGGACTACTAAAATCATTAATGCTAAGGTCCCCAAAACGTGTAGAATTACTGGATTTTGAATTTTTTTTGGCAAGAGGTGAAATAGAATCAAATAATTTTCTGAAAACAAAAAATTATTTTATTTTGGTTATTCATATAATAGGTAGGTAATAATTATGAATATAAATTTACCTCTTAGCATTCACTGGTGAATCTTCCATAAATGTATCATTATTATGTTCTAATGTTTGGGACAATGGTGAATTTAAACTGGTTGTAGCAGTAGCACTGAAATTTAAAATTTATTAAATAAATTTAAAAAAAAAAGAAAACTTACTTTTTAGAAGCGAGAGGAACAGCATCTCTTAAAAGGATCATTTGGCCTCCACTACTGATAAAATGCTCCTCATCAAAATGCTTAGAACATACACTATGCCAATTACTGACCTCAGTAAGCCCAAAAGCCTGCATCCAGGCACCTCGCCTATCATCTTTAGGAAATCTATTATATTATAATAATTAAATTGATCAGAGAAAAACAAATTATGACAAATAATATTTTATATATAATTCTAATACTTACAAATGGAAAGATAATTCTTCATTTGTATTGGATTTTGATTTGCACACCACGCATATGTGCACCATTATAATAAATTGAACGTATATTATGTTAAATAAAATGTCAAATAGAATAATATGAAAAATATTATGGAGGTACGTGACAAAAGTTAAATAATTTGAATATTCAAATAATTGACAATTAAAAAAGGCACGAAATTTGTATATTCAAAATGACAATTTAAAAAGGCACGAAATTTGAATGATTGATAAACGAAAAGTGATAAGTGATAACCGTTGAACCACATTGGACCATCCTACTACCACTCTGGTTTCTTGGGTGCTCTCTGAACACGCGAATATTTGTTGAATGGCCTATCCTCTATATATTATCTATGCAGCCCATGAACTAAGATATATCTTAGTTCATGATGCAGCCATACATGATATGCGTTATCTGTGGCTTCAGCGGTCAGTGATTGCAAGGGATGAATGATTTTTGTGATTGTCTGAATTCAGTAAGGCAACGAACAACATAACAATAAAAAAAATAAGAAATATTTGTTTAATGGCAGCACTGGGACAACAAGGTTTCTCGATTCCCTTCTCTTCTGTTTATTCTGTGATTGTAGGTAATAGATATCACAGTGATGAGTGATAAGAGATAAGTACAGTTCACACGAGTTTCTGGCTTGTTTAATTCTCGATTTTCTCATTAAATTGTTTCAACTCCGAAGTCATAAAATCTGTAATTTTTAAATGAACAAATAATAAAAAATTTGATAATTCATATTACCAAACCATGTCGAGCAGTCGTTTTACACCAAGAGGTTTTCCCAGGGTTCCGCTTCAGAATGGTATTGGGCGTTATATCTGTCAATTGAAAAGAGTCACATTAAGATTTTGTAAGAGCAGTGGGTCTAGTCGAGGAATCCGTGATTTCATCGAAACAGATCTAGTAAGTTTTGCACAAGATCACCCAGGTACAGCTTTGTACTTGAAGCCTCGTCGTCACAAGTCACCTTCATTTGTCGCCGAATATTTGAATGGCGAACGAGAAGTAATCTCTTGTCACAACTTCACTGCACAACAAATGATCAAGTGGTTAAATTTATACTCCACCCGATCTGGTATACCGCTTATGAGGTATGTAAAAATGTGGCATACAGAATGTCCTTCTATTCAAGGAGTCTGGAGTCCTTTTACAAACAAGGATCCTGCTTTAAATATCACACAGTTCCCATCTGATATATTATCAAAGCCTGTATGGGTAGAAAAATCAGCAACAGAAGAGTTAGTAGAAATGATAAATAAACAAAAAATCAGTGATGATAATGATGACGATACACAGAAGGTTCAAGCGGCTCAAGTGTAAATGAAAAGTTTTCAATAAATCGTTAGTTACATGATTTTCATATAAATGTCTTACAATAAAATTCTATTCACTATTTTGTATGATGGTTTTTTTTTGTAGTAGTAGTAGTATTTGTACAAATAAGTATTTTTTTAATAATGTATATTTGTATTGCCTAAGTTAAATCAATAAAATATGCATATGTACCTACATATAATTAGTTTAAACATTTTATTTCATAGCATAAAAAATCTTTTAATGAAAACCATTAGTGGAAATATGGGTGAATATTCTTACCGATGTGTAATTAATTTTTAGAGGAAACAAACCGTAAAAATAAAAAAAATAAAAATAAAACTTAAAAAACATAATATAAAAAATGTGAAAATATTTCTTTTTAAATATTTTATTTTTTGACATTAAATTAGGTAAAAATAATACTTTCAAAAAAATTTTCAAAGTCATAGGTGGCCCAGGATGAAAGAATCACTTTGTAATTTGTATATTTAATAAATTTTATAAAAATATTGAAATAAGAAATATTTTTATCATTCTTCATTTACTATAATATGGGTTGTAATGATTTTATTAAATTTATAGTAATTACTAATTAGTAATAAAGTATGACTTGGGTAAGATATAGAACAAAATAACATAATTAAGTACTGTAAATTTCCTAAGCAGACCTTTCATTCTTAATCTTTGTATTATTTTAGTGAATAAAATTGAGTCAGTCAACACTCAACAGCAAGGTTAGGCATTAACAAGTTACTAGTTTTTTAGAAGTAACTTCCAACTTCTTGGGTTTCATTTTTTCTATGTTATTCCCAAACCACAGATTAAAAATATATTCAAATTTGTTAAAATTAATTTTATAAAAAAATTTTTTTGAAATATTAAATATAATAATTAATAAATACTTATTAATTATTATACATATATTTTCTCATTAACTTAACAAGTTAAAAAAAAATAGGTGACTTGTCAACCCTTGCTCCACAGTTATTAATGTGTTAATTTTTTTCATCCTGGTGTTAATTTTTAAATCTATTACAATTTAAAGGTGGTGAAAATATGGGTTTTGAACGATATCTACACATCCTAAATTCTTATAGATTTTATTTAGTACTAACAACAAAGGTGAAAATTAGTAACTATTAGTTATGCTTATGAATTATGATACCTCTGAAACAACATGAGTATATTAAAAACATACAATTTATTTATCTTACAGAGTTACAGTCAGGTGTGGATTGCTTGCCCGAGATATAGTAATTTGACTGTTTAATTGTATAGTAATGGTAAATGCCAAATGGTAATGTAATTACTAATTAGTAATATTAAAACTTGTTAATGGTTGTTACTTGTGTTTTGTTTTTATTTTTCTTCCTAATGTATACTTACAGAAAACAATAAATAATACATGTAAAGACTATATCTAATGAACTAAACTATAAAACAAAGATATTGCTATGTACTAAGTACTGACGTCCTGCCAATACACATATTATATTAGGACGTTCCTTAATTTTAAATTTTAAAATATGTTAGGTCTCACCATGGGCGTCCCCAGACATTTTTCTAGGGGGGGGGGGGCAAAATTAATTTAAAAAATAAATTAAAATTTTTTTATACATTTTATTTATAGTAAATTATAATATTTCGTCATTATTAAAATTATGAATTAAAACATTACAATAAGGTAGGTATTATTATTACAATTAAAACATAAAAAAATATTATTATACATCATTCTTTTTCATTAAATATAAATTTCAATCTCCGTGGTCCGTAGACATTCTCTACAAAATTGTGTCAGTGCATTTTCAATAAATTTTTCTTTATTTGAATTTACTTTTTCTCTATGAACACTCAACATGCATATTATTCCATTCAGTCTATCGTCGCCCATCGTTGATCGTAACCATGTTTTAACGCTCCTTAATGTACTAAAAGAACGTTCTGCTGTACAGCTTGTAGCCGGAAGAGACAAAAATATTTCCAAAGCAACAGCTATATTTGGAAAAAACGCACAGTTACGATTTAACAAATCGATAAAATCAATATCTTGGCAGTCCTTATTTTGCCAAAAACTGTACCAACTTTCCACTTCAGCTTGGAGATTATCAATTTTATAGAAATCAGCAATTTTTTCAATGCTTTCAAAATACATTTTTTTCTCCAATTTCTTAAAAATGTTGGGGTGAAGATATTGTAGTAAAAATGCATTATCATTTTTTTTCATCAAAACGTTCTTTTATAGATTGTAAAATTGAAACAATATGTGTTTAGGAACACACGGATAGTATAAAAATTGGAACTTGGTAATAATCTTCACAACTCTCAGTTTCATGGTTCACTCTTAGTGACTGTTTCTTTACCGTTCTTGGACGTGTAATGACAATATCTAAATCAATGGCGATTGATTTCCCTTCGTTAAATAATGTTTGGAAAATGTTATCAGCGTCATTTCGATGATTATCGAACAATATTAGTAATGAATTAATATGCTCGCTGACTTTATATAGATCTACTGAGACGCCTTGTAATATATTTGTCACAGGTTCTAAAATAGCACTGTATTTTGCCATAATAATCATAGAAATTAAGAATGATGAATTTGAGACCGCAGAATATAAGTAATGAGCTCGTTGCCTTGTATTGGAATTTGAATGTACTTCATTATTTGATAATGATTTCAAACTTGTCATTATTGAAATAAAATGTTCTGAAAATACTATTATATTTAGACGACCAGCGTGTTTCACAAAATAGTGGTATGTTAGGGATAAGTTTTCTTCTAAGCGTACTTTCACGGAAAATCTCATAATATCTTTTATAGTTCCAGTAGTATTACGAATAATCATTATTTTATTTAAAACATTTATAACTAAATTTAACCTGTGATTAGAACAATGAAAAAATAACGCTTTGTTATATTTATCACGAATTAATTTACTAACACCATAGATTAAATATACTAAGTATATTTAATCTATGCTAACACCGCCTTCTTGTCCAGCCATTGTAGCACAACCATCATATCCTTGCCTATAAAGTTTGTTTAAATTTAAACCACAGTCAGTCATAAATGATTTAATGTTTGTAGCTATAATAGATTGAGCATTTAATTTGTCTAACGGAGTAAAACCTAAAAATTCTTCCCGAATTTTTGGCGGATTTGAGTGTTTGTCTAAAAATCGAATTCCTATTGACAATTGTTCTGTTCCAGAAATATCTGCAGTTGCAGAGTACCCGCGCGCCGCGTATAATAATAATGACAGGTATATTATTATGTAAGTGACACGATAATATACACAATGTAACAGCAAACAGCTAATAATTTATTGCCATGTGAGCACTCAAAAAATACATTAAGATAAAATAGTTCGATTATTATTAATGAAAGTTTTCATAGATAGCCGTCAGCCGTGCGTTGACATAATATGTTATGGAAACTTAGTAGATCAATTTTTAGAAACTAATTTATCATTTGGAATTTTACCAATTTCTGTGGAAATAATATTATTCTAGGGGGGGGGCAAGTGCCCCGTCTTGCCCCCCCTGGGGACGCCCATGGGTCTCACCCCCCTATATGAGTGCGTGTACCTAACTATAAAAATGAGCTACAAAAAGTTTTAAACCAATCGGTTAAAGTTAACCCGTGTCGGACTTGTAATTTAAGTTTGAACTCCTTACATTTTTCAATATTTACGAAAATTTCCATAAATATTTTGATAACCTTTATAAATATTGACATTTTTTAAATTATATGTTGTAAAGTAAATTGAATTTTCTTTAAGTTTTATAATTTTACATTTTTTAATACCTCCAATGGTTCACGAAGGGTACCTATATGGACTTAACCGTAGAAAAACACGATACCGATTGGAAATAAGAGTAACATAGTAACGATTAGTAATAAGTAATAACTAACAATATAATATAGAATAAATGATGATTATGTGCACGGAAAAAAAAGCTCCTTACCAACAAACACTAAACATTTAATGATTACCTATGCTCTAATTAATGATATTTATTATTTATTATTTATTTTGACATTAACAAAATTTAAAACAAGGTTCCTGTACAACACTACAACAGAATTTATTTTTTATAATGTAATGTTATGTAATTGTACAGCGGTTCTTAACCTGTGGTCCGCCGTCCTCGGCCCCCTGGGGGTCCGCAATACTCACGTCGAGGGTCCGCGGCAGCCTTACCACCTAACATAAGTTAATACGTGACATGAGTGAAATATTACAAAAAAAGGTATTCGACAAAAAATTGGTAGGGGGGGTCCGTGTTCTACAAAAGGTTAAGAACCGCTGGTATAGAATATTGTCAAAACTTGTGAAAACCATATGGTAGTATAGAAATAAAAATATTGAGTACCTATCTATCTAAGTTACAAATTGAAAAATCAATAAAATAAATTACATCTAGTGTATCGTATTCGTATATGACATTCAAAAACAACTTGTCAGCGGCGTCGAAATTGCGGTGAGGGGGGGGGGGATACACCTGCCTCCGAGGACAAAAAAATCCAATTTTTAAATGGCCAGAAAGAAAAATATATGTCATGAAAATGTCATTATGTGTATAAAATTAAGTATTTGTAAATTATGATGGAATCACAAAAATATCAATTTTTCTTCCGAGGAGGTTAAGATACAAAAAATGTTAACTGTTTACATCATGAATTAAGATAAATAGTATATCTGTAATCACTAATCTGTATATCTTAATTCATGGTTTACATCACGGCTTTAGATAGTACTAGATAGATACTATCTAAAGCCTTGGTTTACATACAAACTATTTTTGTATAGATGTTAAATATTGTTTATCATTATTAGTGAATTTTCACTGTCTGTGACCTGTTGCCCGTGCGTGTGTGTGACTATTTTTGTAATAGTGTTTCAGTATCTGAGTATTGTATTGTTATCAAATGCTTTTTTGTCTTAATTTAAATGGTTAATGAGACATGACACATGAATAAGTGTTATATCTTACTACTTTGGTACTTATTACAATAATACAGGTTGTACCTATTTTATATTTTTAGTATCTGTAGTTTACTTAATGTTTTTGTA